GGTCAGATGTCGCTTCGAAAATTCGAGGTCTTCCAGCCATTTTATACTACAATGTGTAGCTTGGCTCTTGTTTGTGACTTCGTGTGTCATTTTCTCTCGCTCTCCATCTTCGTTTCCTCAGGTTACACCCTTATCTGGATGTACGGGCATGTGTTTCTACTTTTGTAGTTGTATATGTGCATTCATTTCGGGCCTGATGAAGCCAACAAGCTGAAATACGTATCTCTCGGGTTACCTATCCTATTTTCTGCTCTAATTCACTTTCCTTTTTTATAGTATAGTCAATAGAGCGGAGCGAAAGCATAGCATTAGGTTTGTTATCTTTGAGTAGAATACGTTATTCAGTGGTACTGGTGAATATGACTTTTCAAATGTCACATAGTATGTTACCACCAGTATTATAAACTCGATCATCATAGGCAGTGTAACTGACAACACTCACTTGGTGATACCTTCAGGATGGAAAGATTCAACCCAAAACTTGACTGCTTTTCTTCGCCCACCATTCAGACCTCAATACTAATATATGTGTAATATTCGTTGTAACATAATGCATATGTACGGTTGTTATCCTAACTTTCCAGGAAACTAGAGAGCCCCTATGATATACCAATATAATATAAAAGGTACTTATTATTTTTGAACTATACGTATATTACACTGAGATAAAAATGAACTATGATAGCATTTATTACCTTCAGTAAACAGATGAAACGTCGCATCATTTGATGAAATTCATCAAAAAAAACATTATTCTGCCTCATACAAAGCCACACATTGCAACTTGAACGTTTCCACAAGGTTTCATCAGTATACCTTGTGTTCCCATCTGCTGAGCTATTTTGCAATCAGAAATTATCGTGGTGACATCAGAATACCATCAGGATCCAAGTAAATTGACTATGAATGGGGGTCATCCTGAAAGCTCAGTCGGTCGCAAATAATTAGATTTATTTTTCAAACACATTACATAAAATTATGTTTCGCTAAATGTTTTTAGGTTCTTGGCACCGTTCCAAAAAAAAAGGTCCCTAGTAACTTTTGTCTAAAGTTGACCATGTTCGACTTATTAGTGATTTAGTTGTGTGGAAGACTGTAATCGAAGATGCAATTAACCGTTGCGTCGCGACAACAGCTCTGAGAGTGGCGTGACTCTCACATTGAAAAAATCGCAGGGATCATGCTCGCTTGTCGCTTTGGGACGTCTTTTTGTGAGCGGGAATGCATACCTCAGGCGATCCTGAACTTTGCTGTTTTCCACGGTGTCATCTAAAAATTAAAACAATGGCTTTGGACCATTCAGACTGTTTAGTAACACTCTTATAGGCACGTGAAAAGGAAAAAACAAACGATGACGATTTAAGAACGAAAATGCCTGTCGGGTGCTCTTATCAATAAACGTTCTTTAATCTTGATGGTACTAAGCGAATAACCTATATATTCCTAGGTAATATTTTCTTTAAAAGTATGAGAAATAACAACACTGGAGCCGGCGCCAAACATAACCAACAGGACCCCCATTAGGAAAGGCACTGGCGTTTTCCTTGGGAGACGGTCGAGGTCATCTATCACCCGGATCCCACTAAGGGGCATGCAAAGTGCACATTAGCACCGGATAAACGAACATAAGGGGCGATTTGCGACCGAGATAGAACGCCGACGATGCCGCACACGAGCACGAGGACTCTTTGTCGAAAATATCGTTGTTATTCTTGTTTGATATTCGTAGACAACCTAGAGCATTCGCATAGATTTCATCTTCGCGCGAATCATTGTCGTTCGTGCTTCTTCCGTAGACGACGTGTGTTTATTTGATCTGTCCAGTATTGAATGGATAGGCCGTTTCAAAAACTACAGGTCACACAATTTTCAATTGTTCATGAGACAATAGGACAAGTAAACCAATTTTGAAGAAGCTTCCGGACTCAATATGGTATTTAAGTTTAAATAGGTTGAGGTATTGACCTTCACAGCTTACTAACAATAATACTGGAAAAACTCTGAAAAACTGTTTCATGCTGTTTCCGCAAGTAGTAGGGTTAGTGGTATAACATAAGCGAAAGAATCATATTAATCACATCTTTTATTGCTTATTATTGAAAATTGCACTTGAATATTAACTTATTAATATGCCATATATTTTGATTTTTCACGTTTAGTATCTCTAAGGCGCATACGGGGAACTCGATCAAAGCGAACATGCTGGAAAAATCAAAATTCCGGTTTTACATCCGAATCGTAAATCAGTCACGTGACTAATGTTTCTTTTGTAATGCAATGCGGATTTACCTTCCTCGTTTCCAGCGTTAACATGGATTTTGGAGAACAAGTCACTCAGGTGGTTTCTAGGATTAAATTCACCGAGTTCTTAAAATTATCAGTTTGAAAGGGCAGGAGCAGCAGGCAAATCGTACCAGCTTGTTGGCCCTATAATGGGTCAATGCATCTCAACCAAGTATACATAGGCGTTGAGCCAAGTGGCCAAAAATGGACAATTTGGTTTCCTTTCCGGGGGAGTAAACGTAACCTACAAATTTAGATTTGTCATGAAGGTAGAATAAATGTTTGGTATGATACTTTGTAAGATTCGGTAGCTTAGGCCCGTATCGTCAGTCGTCCCTACAATAATTGTAGGGCGCCTTTATGGCCTCCTTGATTGTCATAGTTTTCTACTTCTCCGTGTCAGAACTCTATTTTGAGGTTATGTCACAAACATCTATTTGCATCAAATTTGTTTTTGAGTTATATCATGTTTTATCAGCCTGAAATTTCCTACAATTTAAAAAGAAAACGTATCATCACAATAGGAGAGCGCTGACGCTGACACGGGACAAGTGTAATCTAGAAATTTTTGAAGGAGAGAAAGGAGTATGACAATCAAGGAGGCCATAAACGAGCACTACAATTGTAGGGCGCCTTAATGGCCTCCTTGATTCTCATAGTTTTCTACTTCTCCGTGTCAGCGCTCTATTTTGAGGTTATGTCACAAACATCTATTTGCATCAAATTGTGCTTGCTTTTGAGTTATATCATGTTTTATCAGCCTGAAATTTCCTACAATTTAAAAAAAAAAACATATCTTCACAATAGGAGAGCGCTGACGCTGACACGGGACAGGTGCAATCTATAAATTTTTGAAGGAGAGAAAGGAGTATGACAATCAAGGAGGCCATAAACGCGCCCTACAATTGTAGGAACGACTGACGATACGGGCCTAAGTGACGTTATGACGTCACAAAGATGACCGCCGGGCGAAAATCGTAATTTACCATTTCAAGTCTGGTTTTATCTGTAAGGAGTAAAAGTATCATAAAAATGTTGATTCAGCATAACGCTAGAACTAATGTTTAGCATGAGCGTCGTTAAGGGGGGCCAGGGGAGCAGCTGCCCCCTAAAGGTTTGAATTTGTAAATTTTTTGTTGCTTTTCTGATTTTTTAGTTAAAACTTTCTTATTTATCTTAATTTTTCCTTCAGTTCTTCTATGCTGCCCCCCCCCCCTTATTGATGTTTAGGATGATACTTTGTAAAATTGGGTAGGTTCGTGACGGGAGGATGTTACAAAGATGGTCGCCGAGCAGATATCGACCTTGTTATTCCAATTAATAGTCATTCTGTGGCAAGCAAGGTAACATTGAATCGCACAATCTTCCTCCATGTCAGAACACACAGGATAAACATATATCGAGAGCCAATTTTCAAGCAAGGGTATGGAACAAGGCACTAGATCCACAGCCACAAATTCCACCACCTGAAGGTCATGGATGGTCACTTGAAACAGAGAGTGACGGTAATTCAATGTTACATATCGACTGGATGAGCTGTGCGCCAGCACCTCTCGCTGTTCTTGAATTATTGTCATGTTCATGCAAGAAAGAATGTGAGCCGAACACATGTTTCTGCATTAAAAAGTCATTGAAATGTACGGATATATGTAAAATTCAGGTTTGCAGTAACTATTCACAACCAGATTATGTTCTCGAAGCTTCATCCGACACAGACGACGATTCAGATGATGAATAACTACTATTTCTTTTAAAAATAAATATATATACTCTGTACAATGTTATACATAATAATATTAATATAATGATGTAAAATATAATGACAGTGCATTTTCATTTTACATGATATTTAAGATTTTTGTTTCAATTAGAATCTGTTGAACAGAATTAGGTGAACACAAAGCATATTAAATTATAATAAAGCAATAACACGAAAACAGCCAGCATCTTAGCAACCAAATTTTACAAAGTATCATCCAAATCATTGATTCTATCTTTTATGTTTGATTAAAACTTATACCATACTGTTAGTCCTCACAAGTTAAACCTGACCTCAGAAGGGTATACTACGATTTTCGCTTGGTGATCATCTTTGTGACGTCATAACGTCACTAAGCTAGCGAATTTTACAAAGTATCATACCAAACATTTATCCTACCTTCATGACAAATTTAAATTTGTATGATACTTTTACTCCTTACAAATGAAACCAGACTTAAAATGGTTAATTACGATTTTCGCCCATCGGCCATCTTTGTGACGTCATAACGTCACTAAGCTACCGAATTTTACAAAGTATTATACCAAACATTTATCCTACCTTCGTGACAAATCTAAATTTGTAGGTCACGTTTACTCCCCAGAAATGAAACCGCACATGCCCTCTGGCGCAACGCCTAACAGCATCTTCATATTCGTTTGACATTTGATAAGCGTAAGCAAAACTGATTGTCTTTGATGAAAGTCATTGGATAGTGTTTTTCTTAAAATATAGTAAAATATTTCTGAGCGGCTATATAAGAAATTGAGAGGTGGGTCAATTTATAGCAGGCCAATCCAAACACAGGCGTAGTGCAGTGACAGTACCATGACTCACGCTACTCTCTTCTATTGTGGTCCTTGAGGTGTAGCTTGCAATTGTGAAAGGCGAGCTTGAATAGCTTTTGAGCTGCTAACTTAAAATACAAAACTGAATAACTTTTTGTTGTTTGTTTCAGAACAAAAAATGTACGATGCACCGAGAAATGCATTATCAGGGTAAGTGGTCAATAGTTATTTTATTACAAGCTTTTATTTATCCTAGTAGTGTCTGTATTACCTCATAATCCAAATTCCCAACATTTTCGTAATTGTAGTATCCCAAGTGATAGTAAAACCTGTCTACATACAATCAATTATAAATAAATCAATAAAATTGAGAAGATAGCTCCATAGATGACTAAGGGTGGATTTCAGCAGGATTGTCAAATCAACAGTCCGTTATTCTCCACCTATAGGGTAACAGTCCGTCAAATACAGCGAATGAGCTTCAAGTTCCAATCAACAAATTTTAGCAACCAATAGCTATGGAATGTTAAAAACAAAATACTGTCAAAATATGAGATGGCAGCTTGTCATTGAAGCATCAGCAGCTTATTGAATGTTAAGAAATTACATATAATTTAGTCAAAATTCAAAAAAGTGTTAGATTTTCGAATAAAATTCATGTTTTTATATAATATTGTCGATCGTTTATTCATTTTTATATTATTTTCTTCAATCGATATGCGATTTTACTGATTCAACATCACCTACCGTGTGTTCTTTTTGTATAAACCTCTTGCAGATAGCCATTAAGCACCTACTTGATGACAGGCTCCACCAAAAATTTCATAGATATTGCACGTTTCCAAACATTCATTCATCTACTTGACGTTCATCAGTACCATTATAGCACCGTCGATTGATATTCCCACAAAACCATTCAGGATTTTTGATATCCATACATCCATAGTCAAATATTTTTTGGTTGTTCAGGAACCGAACAAATATCCACACTGTATTTACAGCGATTAGGAAATACTCAAGTATATGTCGTAAAGCTACCGGCAAACTTGAAACCTGCAAAAAAATAGAATTTACAATAACTTTTTTGTTTAACTGAGTACACGTTCTAGGTTATATTTATATTAGGCATTATTTGAATAACAACTGATTATTATATTTCAAAACTGCCCAACGAGTAACACATAAGTGGGATCCGTCAACCCTTGGTCCCAGTGGAGTAAGCTCCGCCAACTGTTGAAATGTACTCTACTATGCTTTATAAGACTATGGAATTTTTCCCAAAATCGTTGCACAACACTTGAAAAAATGCAAATGAAAATTTAAAATTATTTCCATGACGCCTCAAAATAGTTCCGTCGGTACCTCGGGTTATACATCTTGACAGTAGGGATGTTCGATACGATCCTATATTTAGCAGTATCGATACGTTTCACGAGAACCGTCATCTTTCGATCCGGACTGTGTCAGAACGAGTGACTAACTTCAGATTACTTTTCTTCTTTGTTTCCTTCCGCTGGATACCGATAATTTTATTCCAATATTTTAGAGTATCGATACTTCCTAAAACGATAAGAATCGATACATAACGATACTTTTCGTGGATCTAAACATCCCTAATCTTGACAGCTTGTCGTTCTTGTCAACTGGGCTGTAGGGTGCGGTGCTGCCTTTACTATCTTACATTTTGCTAAAATGTTATGACAAATAAAAGCTTCAAATTAAATATTGACGAATATGAACGGATATGCATAGAATTTACAATATAAATTCATATTGCAAATTTCAGATTGTCTATGCATGGCCTTGAACAGGATTTTTCGGTATTTTTACCAAAAAGAGAATATTTACCGATAACATTCTCCACGATTTTTCAAAATAATTTAAATATTTATATACTTGCCGAAAAAGAGCTGAAATCAAAAATAAAGCTAAAAGTTAACTTTATGGAGTATTCATAGTTTTATGCCCCATATCAATCATACATATGCGTACACACTCAGGGACTGGTAGATTACCGTCATTACCTCACCACCGAACAAGCAATCAAGAAACCGAAACTCATCTGTTTTCAAAATAAATATTTAATTAAAATGAGAGGGAGTTCAGGGTAAAACAGAAAAATATTCTCAATCCCATAAGCAAGAATGAAAAAAGGAGTTTCCAGAATGGTTTGCAAAGTACTTTGAAAGAGCGACCAGTATGCACATTGTAGAAGTTGTAATATAGGACTATGCTCTCAAAAAACAAGTTGTGTGCGAGCCCAATAGAATAACAGACGTTTTTCATGACTCAAAGGTCCTTGATCTACCGCTGATCTTACTACGGCATTTACCTTATACCGAACTCAACGACACTACCGATTCCGTTTTTTCCGGTTCGGCACCACTGCAGATCACTTTAAAAGCAATAATTGTTATTCCAAACGTGCTATAATAATAGAAATAACAAGAAAATATAACAATATTTGGAGATATATATTTATAAATAGTTATTTTTGATTCTGACTTATAATATCTAGACGATGAATAATAGGTGGATGCGGATACTTTTACAAATATCGATGTTTTAGGACCCAGAAATGCAGAATGTGCTGTTTCTTTACATTTGGTGTCGATTTCTAGATCATAAATAGGCAAAAATGGTTTTTGATATAACAAAAGATGATGAACCAGTTGGAATACGTTTTTTATCCTTTTTTTTGCAAAATAACAAGAATCGGCACATTTCTACAGGTACGTATTACGTACAACACCCTGTACGTGATATACAGACAAAAATAGATTGCCATGCATGAACAGTCGTCAAAATAGTGAAATCGTCCTACCAAATATAATAGCTAGAAAATCGGCCTATTATTTCTCTCATTTTCATTGGTCCATTTAAATAACTGACCGTCTTTTCTGAAATAAAAATTTGAAATTCTATGGAATTTATCCTAATTCTAACGCACAAAGACATAATATTACATCGATAATGTACTCTTATTTATAAGGCAACCCTTTTTTTCACAACTTTATTCAACATTTCAATAGAAATCACTGATATTCAGAGACCTTTGACAGCTTCCGTCAAATTGCATTTCGATAAGGTATTTTCCTATTGGTCCAACTGACCGTCAAATATTAATGTTGGTGAAATTGGCCCTAAGTTTACCATCTCTGGTCCACAGAACTACCATGTCAGTGAAGAAGTACTATAAAAAAATTATGGAACATGCGGATGGTCTTAGGTTCCATAAACAACAGTCAAAAAGAGACTAAAGTAATAAATCAAAATATTTGGAAGCTTTGTCCATCGGAGTTTATCACATAAATACTCTATTCGACCACGAACGTATGCAAAACGGCATACCGGCTTTATTATCGACCCCTTTATTAAATAAAACCGCATATCCGATGTACCCGCACGTACCTTTTATCAGTTTTACCGGGACAAAAATGAAAGGCTCTCCACACTCACACACTGCATTTATCCAATTTACCGTCGTGTTTGTATACGTAATGAAATTAAAATCTTTGATTTTCCATTCGATTCAAAAAATACAAAATGCCATTAGTGCTGCTATCCCGCCGTATTCGAGTACTCTTACTGGTACTCGACAATCAATGCTCCAATTGCCCTATCTCAAACCTTTATGCACCAGGAATATTAGAAACTTTATGAGCAAATGAGTAGCTTCCATGCTCTGATATATTCATTTTTCGAACGGTCTTTTATCCTCTACACACAGAAGAATGGGAAATCGAAGTAAGTAGATTAATTTGACCCCGTTACTCATTCATCCAGCTCAGTCAACTTGCAAATAGCTCTGCCGCTATTTGTTATTTCTAAAAGGAAAGATAATAATAAGATATTGTCAGTTTAAAAATTCCTAAAGAAACGTGCACCAAAAAACATCTAGAGTGTGATTTTATAAAAACTAAAATTCTTAAATCCTGATTTTATTTTTTTGCTTGCTTTGAGGTAACCGGGAAGCGCCTTGGACATGATATGAGAACAAAACTTTGGTATGCCCAAAAATGCCTAAATTTCCTAAAAAAATTGCCTCTCTTCCCAATGAAATTCCTCAAATAACCTGTGTTCTAATGGTTCCATAGCTATACATACAGTGTTTTTCAAAGACGTCCCCATCCCCACATCAGGGGCATTACGTGCAGAGTCTACATAATTCCATTAAAAATTGGTATAAGTTGTATACTAAATAATCGCCTACACAACATGAGCGCCACCTATAGAGGAATGGCTTAACGATCATCATTCCAGCAATAGTATAGAATATACATTGTTGAAGCTATAGAAGCTACGAATGGCCCCCTCTTGAGCCATCTCTGAAGCAAATGCTACATCACACTTTATAGCTGAAGTGTCATGATGGCCATACTCACAGCTACTACAAGTAAACAGAAAGGGAGTGACATCTATGTGACATTTTCTCGAAAAATCTACATAACGTCAAGAAAAATCGAGATAATGTCACAATTTAGGTTGGGTCAAATTAACAAGCTGAAATTCAAGATGATGATATTGATTCATGAATATTATATCACGTCCAAAAAATACAGCTTAAAAATCCTAGTTGACCATGACAGCTTGGCACCACCTTGGAATATTTTTCGAAATGAAGCAGAGGTCATTTTGTAGCTGCTTATAATTCAATATATAATGGCGGACTGACAAAGTCGAGCGTTTGTAAGCATTGAGTGGCTTATAATATAAACCTACCATCAAGCTGCTATAATATGTTGGAAGGATCTATCTGAATAGAATTTGGTATATACGAGGGGTCTTTTAAGTTTTGCATATGGAAATAAAACAACAGGGTAGGTAGTTTTAAATGACTTTATTGTTTTTCGAAGAATTCTCCCGGAAGATTAATACACATCTGCATGCGCTCGAACCAATTTTCGAAGCACTTATTCCACTCGTTTGCTGGCAGATCCAAAACGGCATTTTTGAATGCGTCAACTGCTTCTTCTGGTGACTGTTACCTTTGACCACGCAGCCTGTTTTTAATTTTCGGGAAAGTACAGAAATCGTTAGCACTTAGATCGGGGCTATATGGAGGATGATCCAATAATTCCACGTTTTCTTCCGTTAAATACTGCCTTGTTTTTTGGGCTGTGTGCGAGCTTGCATTGTCTTGGTGGAGGTTGATTCTTCTTTCGGGGTTGATTTTTCGAAGCTCGGTGATGACTTTTGGCAAACAAATCCGCAGTAATAGTTCTTTGCTCATTAATAATAGTTCTTTGCTCATTAAGAAGAATTGTTTCAATACCCGCTTTTGACACAAATGTTGCGACCATCTTTTTCGAAACACTTCGAGAACGGATGACTTTTGTTGGCTGGCCGACTGTCGCTTATTTTCTGGTTCATAACAGTGAATCCACGATTCATCACCACTAACAATGCTGTACACATTTTTTGAGATTCCGGAATTGAAACGGTCAAGCGTTTTTTGACACCAATTAACCCTGGCTGCTTTCTGCTCTTCAGTCAACAGGTGGGGTATCCAACGAGAAACTAATTTTCTTACTCTTAACTCTTCATGTAAAATTTTTGAATTGAGGTCTTTGAGATCTTCAAGGACGCCTCAATTTCGCGCTGTGTCACATGTCTATCTTCAATGATGAGTTTGCGCACAGCATCGACGTTTTCCTGGGTGACTGCCGCTTTTGGTGCACCCACCCTGGGATCGTCGCTAAGACTCACCCGTCCATGTTTGAATTCTCCATACCAACAGAAAATTGTCGACTGATGTGGCGCTTCGTTGCCGAAAACAGATAGTAACTCAGCAAGGCATTCTTGTTGCGATAATTGTCTCCGAAAGTTGTAATAGATCATGGCGCGAAAATGTTCTCGGTTGAGTTCCATTTTTCTAATGACTTGGTGATACTTAAAAATTCACTGTATTGAGAACACTGCACGTATTGTTGTGAAACTTTGAATTTAAGTTTACTAAAGGGTGAGGTTAAGATTCAGTACTGACGTTCGGTCCGCGCGGCCTACTATGATTCTATATGCAAAACTTAAAAGACATCCCTCGTACCACTCAAAGAAGTCAAAGATAACTAGTTGTTGAGTAAGAAGCAATTCAATGTACTAAAACGCTCAACTTTGACAGCCTGCCAGTTCGCCATTTTGAAAAATAGTAGAGCTATGAAGTAAAAATAAATGAGGTATCGCTTGGCCTCCCATTCCGCTTGACAAAATGCTCGAAGGTGGCGCCCAGTCGCTATCATGGATTTTCTATCAGGCTTACGTTAAAATATAATATTTGTGCATTAGTTTCATCATCCCGAATTTCAGCTTGCTAACTTAATTTACATACTATTGTAAAACTTACTTATTATCGCGCAGCTTCTGTATTGCTCTAGAGATACGAGTACCATTGGCGGTTGCACTCACTACTTGAGAAACGTGCAGTATCGCTTAGCCTACTAATTCTCCTGTATTATTCGATGCCCCCATTCCAAGTAATTTAAAATATTTGGATTACCTCCTTTCAATTGGCAGTTTCTCGATCATTCCTTTTCTAGTTAGCTGTTGATCACTTGGAATTGATAAAACTTAATAAAAATCGCTAAAGCTTCTTTGTAGTCAAGCTTGCTAGAAAAGCATTTAAATCAATTTATTAAAGTTTCATCAGCGCAATAAAAATTGGAATCGCTATTTGCAGCTATTCAGTAATTAAAAAATTAATATTAGTATTAGTAGAATAGAAGTATTAAGCAAGGTAGAGAAATAAGCTGGTTCTGAGACTTACTAAAGTCTAACCCTGCGCGAAGCAGCTGAGCGCTGCCTACTGACATGTGCCTCTCAGAAACTGCCGTATTATTGGCGGACAGAGAATGTTTTAGTTTTATTACGTGTATATAGGAATGAAAATCTGAGTTTACTGGCAAGTTATATAAATTTGATTTTACGTGCAATAATAGTTCTGTCCTCATAATATTTGGGACTGTCATTATGTTATACTTCTTGAAAAGATCTTTGCACGATACACGTGGTGCTACACCAGATATTGTTTTCAATGGTACCCCAAAAATAATGCTATTTTTTATTCTAGATATCTATGCATGATAATATGAAATTACAGCTATCTGTGGACGTAGTACTAGAAGCCTCCATATCACAAAACAAACAGGTGACAAGATTCCGCATAGTTTGCTTATGTGGTGCTCCCACTGAGGAGCGTTTGACTAACAGACTCTCATTATTGAGGTGGAATGATCAGTAAAATTTATAAAGACAGTATTTTTTGCGTTAAGTGGTAGTTGATTACTAAAAAAATAGGTTATGCATTTATTTATTATGGGTAACATGGGTAAGTGTTATCGTCAGCATACATAACTAGCTCATCTATACTCCTGGCAAGTCCTTGACAAACAGCAAAAATAGTGATGGGCCTAGAATTGAGCCTTGAGGTACGCCAATCTCGACACTACGCTGCAGCGAAGACTATAGTAACTCAAAAATCCTTGCTTTTGACTTACCGCGCTGGCGCGCGGCGAACTGCGCTGCGTGGGGGCGTATCGATAGACTTTATCGGGTTCTTTTTGGTGGAAGAATATAAGTATCTCAATCATACAACTATAGGCAACCAGTAAATCTTCTACCTTATATAGTGAGTATAATAGTGGCAATTTCTCCCGCAAAAACTACATCAAATTGAGTTACTTTAGTCTTCGATGCAAAAAATCACGTAGAGCCTAATCTACTGTTAGACCTACTGATGAGTTTCGCGCCATAGTTTAAGGTTACAGTAATTAATAGCCAAAGCATTTCAAGTATCAGCTGTATGTAAAGAGCAGTTTCCAAAGCGAACTGAAATGAATTCAAGAACCAAGATAATTCTGGCACGTTTGGATCATAAATAGTGATGAATTCTTTTAACACAACAAAAAGGTTCAAACAGCATCCTCTTCTGCACGTTATGCATTGGGATCTATCGCATTACAGTTTCTCTCATGTCTGTGAAAGTTTAACAGAATTCAGCTACTACAGTCCTCGATTTGCTAAGACGACACTCACGTAATTGCTTTTCATTCCTTCATCTCCTAGTCGGGACCTCATACAGACCTATATTACAGACCTGTATCGTACTGATGAGGGCTATGGAGCCGGTTGGTCGTGGATCCATTAGTTTTTAAAAAGAGGTAAAATTTGAACAAAGACGATTGTGGAGAAAAGTTCAAAATAAGTAAGATAAGTGCCTCGTGAAATGAAATATAAGTATGCTGATGGTCTCACGATAGTAACATCGATTATCACAATATGAGTCCGCAAAACAATATGCTTCAGGAACTACCTTTGCTGTACACAAGCTTGCTTCCAGTAGGTACTAGAAAATTAAATGGTTTATATGACCTATGTAAATCAAAAGCAGGCAGTCTTCCTAGCATTCCTGAGGCTTACCTGCATTTCAGTTTCGTCTAAAAGCCCAGGAAGATGAAAAAACACAAAGAGGACATTATATTAACAGTGCTGAAAATACAGAAGTTGAGAATGATGATAGTGGAGAACACGAGGATGAATATAATTTGAGTAACTCGGATTGTCATTAGAGAGGTTTTTTGACCACTTGTATGTAATACTGTAATATTTCAATAAATTCTACTGAGTCTAGAGCAAGTGCACTTTTTTCTTCAATTGATATAACGAAAACTACAGTAACCATTTGTAACCTTCTATATACAACAATTACTACAATGTGCAACATATTTTTGGTGAGATCATCATTTTCCTGACAACGAAATTCATCAGAGAACCAAAACTGAGTTACAAAACTCTTCCTTGCAGGGGTCGCAATGACATGTTGACAGGCTGTGTAATCGGATAGACAATAAAATTTACAGCAGTAACTAATAAATTATTAGAAATTATTGGGAATGCCATCCATGCCAACTGAATTTGACCTTTTCAGACTCATGATTATATTATTAATAACAGGATGTCTTCCTTCTGTTCTTTTAAAAATTTCTTTTTAATCCACTCTACTCATTATAAAAAACCGTCTATTCACTTGCAGAGAGTGACTAAAATAATGTTCATGTCCAACTGTTCTCCTGAATTCTAATCTACTATAAAAGAGCTTTTTTAAGGCTTGCCTAGTCCTTATCTTCCCGGTTCTGTAGGCTACAATAGCGATCATAAATCAACCACTGATTGCATTGCACTTCTATGCAACCCACGTGACCAAAAATGCACTATATCTAAAAAGAAGCAAAATCTTCGTCCGTTGAATGCGGCAGGGTTGAATGCTGCGGCCAAGAGGCCGGAACCTCAGTGCATGGCGCTGCGAGGCGTTATCGCCAGACCGTTTTTCGGCATAAATAAGACCGATAATGGCCGCCAGCCGCCGTGCGCTAACACACATATCTTGTATGTTGTTCCAGCAGCTAACGAATAGCCCTCCACCACTTTTATACTAAGGAACGTTGCACCAAAAGCGTGCCTTGAATGGCTGTAGCTGGATAAATAATTTTTTGCTTTATTCTCGCTGCACTTCCTGCTCCCATATTTATTTTCGGTATCGCTATCTCGATTTTTTTCTCTTCCCACCCAAAAGCTTGCAAGTTGAGCAAAAGTATAGTACTTTACGGAATGGCTCTATGGTATACAACATGTTGCTGAAATAGAAAAGTCAACTTTTGCTGAGGTAGTTATGACTGAAATGAGACAGCACGAAGTCTTCTGCCCAGCTTGCTGTTTTCACTTTTGCAGCGGTCGATTATCGTAATAGATGGCACCTTGTTCCGTCTCACCTCAATATACCTTATACTCTGAATAGAGTATAGTTGCTCAGTTTTTGTTCGTTGTTCAGCGAGACTAAGCCAAGGAGTTGCGAAAACAAATAGCATGATTGGCCGTCTGTGATCGGACACGTGAAAGCTAAAGGGTTTTCCATTAAGGACTTGTCAACTTTCTCTTTAAATAAAACGCAAGACATTTGACAACACTATCACAGAAATTTTATTATTAGATTGAAGTATACTCAAAACATTTATGTATGGAATTCGACCTGGTTCATATGTCCACCACGGGCACATTTGCAGCGATCGATCGTTGAACCCAATTTACAATAACTCGGCCATTACATTTCAACAGAAACGTCCGCTATATGTTGTTCAATATTGGCTCTGAGCTCTTCTAATGATTCCGGCTTGTTGGCATAGACCAATGATTTAATGTAGCCCCACAAGAAAAAATTCTAGGGGTGTTAAATCACACGATCTAGGCGGCCATTCGACAGGACCATTTCTCGATTTAACACGATCATCGACCCTGACTTTGTTTAGTATCTGGGCAACCAGACCTGACAGACCTACTGACTTACAAGACTTTAACCAAAAGCAAAGGTCCTACGGACCGCACTACCGACAGTGACGAATATCACTAAAAAAATAACGTTGCAACATGTCTCTGTAGCGATCTCCGCTGACTGTAACGTGACGGTCATTTTTATCAACGAAAAAAACGGCCGAATAATACTGCCAGCATGAAAACCACATACAGTTATTTTTTGTGGATTCTGTTTGTTTACGAAGCCGTTTAGCAAAAAATGCGTCTTATCACTGAAGACGATTTTGCGATGAAATTGGTCATTTTCTTACATTTCTAGAGCTAAAATTCGAGATCGTACGTCGGTTCATATGATCGAACGGCTTTAGTTCTTGAGTTAACCTGACCTTATACGGGTGCAGGCCAAGATCTCTTTGAAAATTCGCCATAGTGTGAGGGATGCCCAGTTCTTAAGAACGCGGTGGAATCGACGTGTTCTGTTCGTTTGTGGCGGAACCTTGGATGGCAGCAATATTCACAGCACTTCGACCAATCCGTTGTCTCACTGGCACGATAACATCCAGCAACGAATATGTGGACTCAAATTTTTCTATCAGACTATGAATTGCTTGTCTACTGGGACTAGAAATACGACAAAAAATTGGCGTTAACGATCTTGAAGTTGCAGTCACCGACTCGGAATTTCGGTAGTAAGTTTTAATTATTTGTAAGCGTTGTTCGAGCATGTACTTCACCCTGATAAAAATATGCTTTGCTTACTGAATGTTTTGAAATTGTCAATTCGGTAATTGATTTAAAGGTGCGTACACAGTGAAAGTTCAAAGTTGTCAAGTCCCTATTGGAAAACCCGATATATTACTAGTTTAGTCGTGTTACTTCAGTAAAATGAAAATAACCTGAACAATTAGCGAGTCAGTTGATTGACATAAAATATCCCTAAGTCATAATAAGTGATATAATGTTCTATGATACTATACAATCCCTCGCTTGCATTGGGAATGCAATTCATTATATTAGTAGGCTCTCAAATATTAGTTTCACTATAATCCACACTGAACTCTAAACTGACTCAAGCTTTTGATGCTCAAACAAATAAAGGAAAATATGGTATCATTGGTGTTTTTTTATTCTAGTTGGTTTCCTATTCATTAAAGGCCTTTATTCAAAGTACTTGACTCCTAAAATGTTCCAACACTTCCACTGAAGTAAGCCGATTGGTATATGGGTTGCCTAATTGCCCTTATGACTACTGGTTTCGCATATGAAGGTAACACAAGATAAGTATACCGGGTGTTAAGTAAATAATATTCGTAACTTTAAGAATTGATTCCTTGCATTGTTCTAATTATAACTTATGTCCGAAAATCAATCGTTTTCGAGAAAAGTGAGTCCTAAGTAATTAAATTTTCTCAAGCATTTGGCAACGCTGCAACGCAACCGCGATACGAGCACACGACGACCGCAACTAATTCATCGAATTGTTTACGTTTTATTTTTGTTGAAAATATGTCGTGAATTATTGAATACTCTTACGCAATAATTTTTTATGGCTAATATTTCTTATTTAATAACTCTTCCAGTACAGTACATTTACTTGAAAAAATTGCAGAACTTAGCGGCACGTGGCGATACACACCACCAATTCCTACGAATATCAGTCACTTAATTGAAACGATGCAATGCATGAAATAAGAATCACGTAAAGTTACAGTTAAATGTATTAGTAATCAAAACAACACGCGATGATAGGTACATGCAGTGCAGGCAGAGTACGACGTTGCCAGTTGTGTGAGGGATTTTGTTTTGTTTGTTTTTCTTCTGAAAATTGTATTTAATAAGCAGGAAAATTATTTTGTTAGAGACATCTAATTAATAAATAGATGTATTGATACATTTTGCGTTATCAATCATATGGATTTGAATTATTAAGGTGCAAAATTAATTTATTTCATGACTAAAAAGAAATAAGTTCAGTATTTTTTTGCTCCGAAACGGTTGATTTTCGGACATAGGTTATAATGAACTTTTTTGCTTAGAATAATGCAAGGAATCACCTCTTGAAGTTACGAACATTATTTCTCTAATACCCTGTATAAGACCAGAAGCTTCCTGTTCAAATGCATCGTTCGAGATGGTCCTAGAGTGGTAGCAGTGGTGGAGAGGCGAAGTCATCTACTGGTAACTGATTATCGAATATGGTACCATTACGTAAGCACTGACGGGGGTTCATCGTCCGCAATATTTATTTTTTACATTTTTTGATGTTCTACAAGATTTAGTCAATTTTTACTTGAACAAATATGACTACTCTGCTTGTCTACGCTCGATAGCGAAATTTATCTTCAGGGCTTCCCCAAATATGAATGTGCTTACTCGCTTAGAACTTAAGCTATAAATGCGCATGATAGAAATTCGTATCACTGAGTAGTGCCTCTCTTAGTCAGTGACTGGCTAGTTGAAGACTGTCTCGTGACCATTTTGGGTATCATTTGGATCAACGTGGCATTAGAATCAATGACCACTTAGAAAGATCCCAATTTCGAGTTTATTAAAAGAGGTATTGAGATCAAAGGAATTTTATGATAAGTTACTGCAAAGTATGTTGGATGTTGCGAGTCAGATCTTCCTGATTTTGTGAGCATGTGCGTGGAAGCCAATAATGTTGGACCAGCGAAAGATTGCAAGCCGAAAGAATGCGGACAAAAAATTGCGAAGTTGTCAGATGTTCTACATAAAATGCGGTCCATACATATTAACATATTTAAGATATAGAATTGTTCCGCTGAATTTGGCAATGTAGCTGGAAAACCCAGGCCGCAGGTAAACATCCGGTCGCTGATTGGTCCAAAACTCTTATCTTATCTGAAACTAGAATAACGTGCCGATGGCACGGTCATTTATAAACCTACTCCCATAGGCGTAGGCAGTTGGCAAATACTTTGAAAATATAATTTACTGTTTAGTGGTGATAATGGAATTCAAGCATGGGAAAGTTATTCACAGCCAGGCAAGGGAAATAATAGCAAACGTGATACGTGCTTGCGATGCAGAAGCGGCTAACAATACTTTCGTTTATCCACTGGTAGCTAGAAATGCAAGGGCGGCATATTATACGGGTGTTAGTGAACGAACTATAAGTAAAATTAGAAAAGAAGATAAAGACAGGCAAAATGCAACCTCCACACAGCCTTTAGCTTCTCCCGGAAAAAAGAGATCACGCCCTTCTGTGATCCAAAAAATTGATGGAGTCGATTTTTCCATTATTCGGAGAATGATAGAAAAATTTTACTGTGATTTTAAAGTGGTACCTACTTGTAGTAAACTTCTAATCAAACTGAAGGAAGAAATGGAATTTCCATTTGGTAAAGAATCGTTGAGGCTGCTTTTAAAAGCAAAAGGATTTTACTGGCGTAAATGCCACAACAAAAGGAAATTACTAATGGAAAGACCCAGTATTTTACATTGGCGATACAAGTATCTTAGGTCTATTAAAAAGTTCCGGGAAGAAGGAAGGCATATTATTTATTTGGACGAAACTTGGGTTGATAATGACCTCACTTTCAAGAAATGCTGGCAAAGCGAAGAAATTATGGGTGTCCTGAGCAATATAAGTTCTACAGGTAATAAAGTTTCTTTCACCTCGATTTTGCTTATTATACATTTTTCTCAATTTTGGAATATTCTTAATAAGTGCTCATTTAATTTGTCTAATTGAATACATAATCCCTTGCAAGTATTTTTTTCTCAAAAATATGTTTTTTATACATAGTGATTCAAAAAGGTGTTGGCAAACTTAAAATAACACTAAAATGAGGCTATTTATTCATTTCCAGGACGACTTATAATTGTTCATGCGGGTTCGCAAGATGGTTTTGTTCCTGGAGCCTGTCTCATTTTCAAGGCTGGCTGTGCCACTGGTGATTATCACGGTCAAATGAACCAAGAAAATTTCACGAAGTGGCTTACTGAAAAACTATTTCCTAACATTCCTCCTAATAGTATTATAATAATGGATAATGCACCTTACCATTCAGCTTTGGAAGACAAGCCTCCAACTAGATCTTCTCTAAAAAGAGACA